AGGTTTTGATTTTTCCTATTGGGTTATTGGGTAAACCGATAACCCAATAAGACGATAGTTATTTACTACTTTACCCTTCCTCAATATTAAATATACATAATTTAATAAATAAATAGATTCAATATTAGCTTTTCAGGCTATGTGATTTTTTGATTAGGAAATTGGTGAGAACTTTGTTGATTATGTGGTGGATCAAGCAACTGTTCAAGCTTGTCTCGTTGAAATATTTTATTTTAGTTTTAATTCTAGTTCGTATTGTAGGCGATAGCTTTTGCAAGTTTGTGAATGTTAGTAATTTGATCAACATTCAAAGTTTTCTATTATGTTTTGGCGGTAAGTTGGTAACATGTAATTATAACATACGTACTATTATATATTATTTGATCGACATTTTTTTATTGGCTTAACCGTAACAGAACCGATAACATCAAAATCGATAAACCGATAAAAAAATTCTTATTGGTTTGTTATTGGGTTAGCATATTTTAAAACCGAAAATCGATAAACCGAACCGATTATATGTAAAACTGAACCGAACCGACCGATGCACATCCCTATACGTAACAATGTAATTTAACAATACAATACAATACATTTTGATTAACAATCGAAATAAACATTGTAGGTATAATAACAATACAATACAATACAATAGATAACAATCATCCAAACATAGTGTTAGTTTTATTTCTCTCATGTTTCTTAATGTTAATCCTTTGGTTTTCCTTACTTTGTTTCATATGCTTAGATGAATTTTGTTCGACCCGTCTCAAGTTAAGCAAAACACAAAGTCATGAATTTTTATTTTATAAACATTAATTAATTTTTTTTTGCCTTCTAAATTAATTATTTTTACATACATACTAGTTTTTTTAAAAAAATGACGCCTTAAGCTTTTTCCTCAATATGTAACTATAGTGGATTTCCCTTAGTAAGACCTTTGAGAAACACTTATGAGAAATGCTGGGAAATAATGAAATTTTGAAGATTTGTTTTAAATTACTCAAACCACATCAACCCATTTTCTTTTTTTAATTAGAGAAAATTGTTCCTG